AGACTCGCTTGAGCCCAGGAGTTGGAGGTTGCTGTGAGCTGTAATGCCACGGCACTCTACCCAGGGGGACAGCTTGAGGCTCTATCTCAAAAATAAATAAATAAATAAATAAATAAAAATAAAATTGACTCAATATATACAAAGTGCTCAGTTATGTCTACTACTTCAAAATACTTAACAATTATAAGAATTCTCATTCTAAATTTTTTAACATCTTAAATCTACACATATTTTATGTTGTACAGATATGATGTTTATCATCAAACAAAAACCCAACCAAAATATGAGTTTTTAAATTATTAATCTTTTAAGAGGGGATAATTATATGTGCACATTAAGATTCTAGACATGCAGCTCAGTGCCTGTGGCTCAAGTGGCTAAGGCGCCAGCCACATACACCTAAGGTGGTGGGTTCAAATCCAGCCCAGGCCACCAAACAACAATGATGGCTGCAACAACAAAAAAAAAATAGCCAGACGTTGTGGCAGGCGCCTGTGGTCCCAGCTACTTGAGAGGCTGAGGCAGGAGACTCGCTTGAGCCCAGGAGTTGGAGGTTGCTATGAGCTGTGGTGCCACGGCACTCTGCCCAGGGGGATAGCTTGAGGCTCTATCTCAAAAAAAAAAAAAGATTCTAGACAAGCACTGATCAATATGGTAGCCATTAACCACAAGTGGGGATTTAAATTCAAATTTTAATTAAAATAAAATTAAAAATTCAGTGCCTCAGTCACAGTAGCCACATATCATCTACTCAGGGCAGCCAGGGGCTACCATATTGAAAACCAGATACAGAATACTTCCATCATTACAGAAAGTTCTGTTGGACAGCACTGTACTAGACTACCAAGGTTTGGGTTTTGTTTCTTTTTTTCAGACAGAGTTTCCCTCTGTTGCCCCAGCTATAGTGCTGTGCCATGGTCTCAGCCTAACTCACAGCAACCTCAAACTCCTGGGTTCAAGTGATCTTTCTGCCTCAGCCTCCCACGTAGCAGAGACTACAGGTGCACACCATCATGCCTGGCTAATTTTTCCATTTTTAGTAAAGATAGGGTATTCCTTTGTTCAATCTGGTCTTGAACTCCTGACCTAAAGTGATCCTCCTACCTCAGCCTCCCAGAGTGCTAGGATTACAGGTCTGAGCCACTGTCCCTGGCCTTTAGACTGTCAAGTTTTAAGTTTCAGTCTTACCAAATACAAAAGGCAGATAAAACATGTTATGAAAGGAAAAGGAAGAAGAAATCTATGAAAAAGAAAGGTAAGAATAAAGAGGGGCCCCTAGACAGAGAAAGACCTCAGTCATAGGCTGGACAGTGCCTTAATCAGGGACCTATGGTTTCAGCAGACACTGCTGAAGGAGAGGTAACAAGGATACTGTAGAGCTTTCGGTCCTTGGATTCAGAGCGCATGCGGCTCAGCTGTTGTTTGTGACAGCGCAGGCTCCAGGGATTGTGGCTGATTTTCTCAGAACTCAGACCACTGTTGCCATCTAGCATCTGGAAAGGGACATCAGAGTGGCTGTGAAGCTCCACTTTTGGACTCTTTGCCTCCTGGGAGCTAAGAAAGAAGAACATACACATTGTTAAAGGACTCAAGCAAGTCATCCTCTGGGGTCTCACCACATGTGGTAGGTGAGATCTAGATCAAGCCTAATCTGTCACCCATAGACCCTACTGATGGATAGCATAGATGCTGCAAATACCATGAGTAAAAGTGAGTAAATGGTATGAGTAGTTTTCTTTGTGTCTCTGAAAACTGTCTGAAACATAATTTTTATCAAATTATATAATATCGATACCACTTTAAAAAGCATTGCCTGGCTTGGGGCCCATAGCCCAGTGGTTACCGTGCCAGCCACATACACCAAGGGTGGTAGGTTTGAACCCGGCCCCCACCAGCTAAACAACAATGACAAATACAATGAAAAGTAGTTGGGCATTGTGGTGGGTGCCTGTAGTCCCAGCTACTTGGGAGGCTGAGGCAAGAGAATCACTTAAGCCCAAGACTTTGAGGTTGCTGTGAGGTGTGAAGCCACTGCACTTTACCAAGAGTAGAGTGAGACTCTGTCTCAAAAAAGAAAAGAAAAGCATTGCCGAGGATGTGAAGAAACTGAAACTCTCATACACTACTGGTGGGAATGTAAAATGGCAGCCACCAAAACAATTTGTGGTTCTTCAAAGACTTAATCATGAGTTCTCTCACTTAACAATTCTACTCCTACAGCAATGCCCATAGCTCAGTGGGTAGGGCACTGGCCATGTGCACCGAGGCTGGCAGGTTCAAACCCAGCCTGGGCCAGCTAAAACAATAATGACAACTGCAACAACAACAAAAAATAGCCATGCGTTGTGGCGGGTGCCTGTAGTCCCAGCTACTTGGGAGACTGAGGCAAGAGAACCGCTTAAGCCCAAGAGTTAGAGGTTGCTATGAGCTGTGATGCCACAGCACTCTACCTAGGGTGATAGCTTGAGACTCTGCCCACCCCACAAAAGAAAACAATTCAACTCCTAGGTATATACCCCCCAAAATTGAAAACTGTCCTTCCTTTTGGCTGGAGACGCCATCTTCCAGTGATTTACCACAATGACAAATACAAAAGGAAAAAGGAAAGGCACCTGATACATGTTCTCTAGGCCTTTTAGTAAACATGGAGTTGTGGCTCGGTGCCTGTAGCTCAAGTGGCTAAGGCGCCAGCCACATACACCAGAGCTTGTGGGTTTGAATCCAGCCAGGCCTGCTAAACAGCAATGACACCTACAACCAAAAAACAGCTGGGTAGTGTGGTAGACTCCTGTAGTCCCAGCTACTTGGGAGGGTGAGGCAAGAGAATCACTTAAGCCCAGGAGTTGGAGGTTGTTGTGAGCTGTGATGTCTCTACCCAAGGTGATGGCTGGAGGCTCTGTCTCAAAAAAAAAAAAAAGAAAAGAAAAGAAAAGAAAACATGGAGTTGTTCTTTTGGCCACATATATGTGAATCTACAAGGAAAGTGATACTGCAGGCAGACATCAAGGGAATGGGTACTGTTCAAAAAGGCATGCCACAAATGTTACCAAGGCAAAACTGGAAGAGTCTACAATGTTACCCAGCATGCTGCTGGCAATGTTGTAATCATACAAGTTAAGGGCAAGATTCTTGCCAAGAGAATTTTTTTTTTTTTTTAGAGACAGAGTCTCATTTTGTTGCCCTCTGTAGCGTACTGTCGCATCACAGCTCACAGCAACCTCCAGCTCTTGGGCTTAGGCAATTCTCTTGCCTCAGCCTCCGGAGTAGCTGGGACTACAGGCGGGTGCCACAACGCCTGGCTATTTTTGGTTGCAGTTTGGCTGGGGCTGGCACCCTATTCAATGAGTCACATGTGCCACCCTCTTGCCAGGAGAATTAATGCTTCTATTGAGCATATTAAGCACTCTAAGAGCTGAGATAGCTTCCTACAACGTGTGAAAGAAAATGATCAGAAAAAGAAAGAAGCCAAAGAGAAAGGTACCTGGGTTCAACCAAAGCACCAGCCTGGTCCACCCACAGCACACTTTGTGAGAACCAACAGAAAGGAGCCTGAGCTCCTAGAACCCATTCTCTATGAATTCATGGCATACTAGACACACAGCATAGCACATAGGAGAACCACGAGAAACAGCTGAACAGAGGATAAAATGCTGGAACCTACTCCCCATGAATTCATGGCATAATAGGTATACAGCATAGCACACAGGTGAACCAGGAGAACCAAGAGAATCAGTGGAACAGGAATGAAAGGTGCTAGAACCTATTCCCCAAGAAATCATGGCATAATAGGCATAGCAAGCTTGGTCACATTCAATGAAAGGCACTTCCCCAAGCTGCTGGAACCTTTTCCCTAATGAATTCACAGCATAATAGGTATTAAAAAATAAAAGGCTACAGTAAAAAAAAAAAAAATTGAAAACTGGGATTCAGATACTTTTTGCCTATGTCCACTGCAGCATTACTCATAATAAACAAAAGGTAGAAATAAACCCACTGTCCCTCAAAGAATGCATGAATATAATGTGGTACATACATACTATGACATATTACTCAATTATAAAAAGGAATGACATTCTGATACATGCTATGTGGATGAACTTTAAAACATTTTGCGGCTCGGCGCCTGTGGCTCAAGTGACTAAGGCGCCAGCCACATACACCCAAGGTGGTGGGTTCGAATCCCCAGCCCGGGCCCACCAAACAACAATGATGGCTGCAACTAAAAAATGGCCGGGCGTTGTGGCGGGCGCCTGTGGTCCCAGCTACTTGGGAGGCTGAGTCAGGAGACTCGCTTGAGCCCAG